CTCACCTTCCCCCCGCTTCCTTCGCCGCCACTTCTTCGGACCTGTGCTCTGAACCGTTGGTGTTCCCCCTGACTCAACAATTTGTGTACTTTCCTGTCCCTACACCATCGACTTCCGTAAGCATCCTTGATTCTGAATAACCGCATTGCCCGGTCTGCGTACCGCACCCGCTTGCCGGCGTTCTCCCCTTCCTACGCATTCCACTCGCTTAACTGCAGCCACATCCCTTATCGGAGGCGCCTTTAACCACTCTCCATACGCCACTGCCCCTTCCTCAATCACCTCAACAGAGCACTCAGTGTTGATATGCCTTATTCGGCCACACCGGTAGCAGAAATCCTGGAGCCGTTCATATCGAAATTCAACCCAGGTATCCCTGTTAGTATCCCTTCGAATCCAACATCCCTTGAATAACGGCTTCTCCGTATCCACAAGGATTTGAACCCGCAGAAATCCCCGAGCAAGGCCGGGATCCTCCATGGCTAAGAACTTTCCAGCCTCTTTGGTTAATCGATGGATGTTATTTACAGAGACTAGGCCCAAAGGAATTCCCCTGATTTGAACCCAAAATGGAACAGCATCCAGTTCCAGTTCCTCGAGAGTGAGCTCCAGCGGCCACTTCACTACAGAGAATACCTTTTTCATCACTGCCCATGGAACTTGCTCAATGATTTTGGTAGCTACACTTTCATCTTTGGCCGATATAACAAATACATTCTCCCTTACCCATTTTATTTCAACCTCACCCAACTCTTGCCAAGCTGCTCTGAGAATATTCCTGACTCCCTATTTATTTACTGGTTTCTGCGTGAGAACTTTCCCAACCAATTTGATTCCCTGCTCCATAGACGATAACTCCAGCGTCTGATTCAGTTGAACTACTAGCTCCTCCACCCCCCTATTCGCCATTTGGTTGGAAGCCAGCTTTCTAACTCGCCCAGCCTGAATCGCAGAGTTCCTTTTAATTTCTACGCACTTCCTCAGAAAGCATAACAATCCCACTCGGTTTGCCTTCTGAGCCCTTTTGTCAACTCGGCCAAGTATGCAACACAACATTAATATCCTCATACCTGTTAACAGTCGCCCATAATGAAATCTGTTATACCAGACTAATTGGGAGAGGCCACCTAACTGCACAGCTGCGAGGAGCCAGTCGATATCACATTTAAGACCCCTTCGACCCCTTGGCAGTTTCCCCATTACTCCCCACCCACCCCTCACTCCTCCCAGACTTCACTTGCCTCCCCCAACCTTATTAAATGAAATTAATGCCCCCTGCCAGAAACTCACCGACACCCCCACAAATTTGAACCTTCACCCTACCCCTTCTCCCCCAACCCCTGTCCACACAGACCCCAATTAGACGAAATTAGCATCCCCACCAAGTCAGCACTACTGTCCCGACAATCCTTACCGAAATCCAAATCAAATCTGCACCATCTTTGAGAAAACCCAAATTCAACCTTCACCCTAACCCTAACCACACAAACCCAAATTGGATGGAAAAATCACCCCCCACCAGGACAGCACAACAACCCCACCAACCCTCAACGAAACGCAACCTGATTAGACAAATACCCACCCCCTTTCCGTCGCCCTAACTCTATCCTCACAACCCAACAACTCGCCCCTCTCACAAAACCCCACCAACCGACATAAATAAGAGCACGAGAGCAGAAATCAAGACAAACACAGATCTCGCAGACAAGACAAACCTGTAAATCCCATGCACGAAGGCGGATCTCACAAAGGAGCAAGTACTCTCACCCACGGAGAGAAAAGAAAAGCTATCTGTTTTTCTTTTTATTTTATTAAACTATTATTTTCTGGGTTTGGAATGAAGACTTCAGAGTCCCAACCCACCCCCACTCCTACGCGCAGAGAAAGAGAGAGAGCTCCAATTTCCTTCCAGAGACAAACAAAAGAGGTAAGCAGGCACGCACCTAATTCTCACCCTCTGTTTTCAATTACGTATTCTTTGAATTTCCATCCAATTTTAAGTTTTAACCAAATATCAAATTCTTTTCCATTCATCGTGACGATATCTGGTCCGATCGATTCCCCTTTTTCATAAATACTTGCTTGGTTGCTGAGAAAAGCTTAAGAAAAGTCATCAAACCAAAAAAGAAAAAGAGCTTAAGAAACTAAATTATGGATTGTTGACTTTATATAGGGTTTTTGGAAATTAAAGATAAACGGTTTCAATGTAACATCCCACATCGTTCAGAGGAGTGATCTTTATATGTATATTCTCATCCCTACCTAGCACGAAATTTTTTGGGAGCTCACTGGCTTCGGATTCCATCGGAGTTTCAAAGTTAAGCGAGTAGCGCTCGAGAGCAATCCCATGATGGGTGATCCATCGGGAAGTTCTCGTGTGAGATCTCAGAAACAAAACCGTGAGGGCGTAGTCGGAGCTCAAAGCAGACAATATCATGCTACGGTGGTGAAGCGGGCCTGGGAAGTGATCCGTCCCGGACATGATATGACATTCAAGAATTTTTATTTGAGGTATCCTTCAAGTATCCTCCTTTAATTTTTCTATGTTCAGTTTGGTTGTCAAGAAAATTAAAGCACTGCCGCCTCTTTCTTCATCTTGCCTTTCTTCGACTCCTCGACGAAGAGCTCCACCAGCTTCCTGCCGTCCGGCTTGATCAACCTGTTTGAAATTCGGAGCCTTTGGCGGGTCCTGGGCTTGGACCCAAGATGGGTTGAGAGCTTGAGGACGGGGGCGAAATAGGTAGATAACGGCTTAGGGAAAGAGTGAGAGGGTTAGGGGGTGTTGACGAAAAGGGTGGACACCATTGAAGGAGGTGAGAGGGAAAGTTGCTGATCTGATAAAAAAATTAATAAAAAAATGTTTGATGCTGTTGTCAAATTTGACAGCAAAGGGTAGAGTTGTCATTCCATATCATACCATATCAGATTTAGCTTCGTTTTTAAAAAATATTGCTGTTTTTCTTTTTTTTTTACTATTATTGCTGATTAAGATATTCTAACATTTTCTTTAAAAATGCTCTAAACTATTCAGTTTAAGCATTGATAGCCTAGAGCTTTTAGACGTGGAATTACTTTAACGTGTGATTTGTTCAGGTCAAATTAGATTTGATAGATCGAGGTGACCTTGACTTGTCAATTGTGGTGCTGAATTTTCTGCACGCGTACACGACCTTAAAATCTGGATTTATCCCTTTCAAACAATAAAACAAATAAAAAATCTCTTCAACGTTTTAATCGTCAAGTTTTTATAATAGGGATTAGCGGTTCACAATTAATCATGTTGTTGAAACTTAGCAGCCTACACAGCTAAACATGTCTTGACTTTTATCACTAATCTCAACATTTTATAACGAGATGACTTGTTTGAAAATATTTTTAAAATAATTAAAAACGTTAAATGTTTCTGAATTTTGCAAAAGTATCAATTATGTACGTCTTGTGTAAAGTATTTCAAATGTTTTTCTAGAACTCACTTTTATTTTTATTAATGATTGTTCTAAATATATATTTTAAAAACACTTTAAACCATTTTAAAATCAGTTTCTAACGAAGTTTTATACATATGGATGTGGACGTGGAAGATGCTTGTCTCATTTGCATTACATAATTGATTGATTTTTACTTTTTCTTGTTATGCTACGTAATTGAATTAGAACTCCAGTGTAGATTTTGGCTACAAATTAACGATGAGATATGATCATATCCATATCTTTGTACGAGTCATATGACAATTACAAAGGAAAGTGCAAAGCCGCTTCCTTCATCCAAATATGGGAAAAAAGCAATAATTTACGTGACTCGAAGATATATATAACTTCAATAGCGTCATATAATTAAAAAATAAACCCCCGTTTGAGATACGCTTGCAATATAGTGAAGGAGGCCTTTTAAGGGAAAATATTTTAATTTTTATAAAATTAGGGATTAGTTGTGAGCCCATATCACATCAAATTTTAATGATAAAAATAGTCTATTTTTTAAATTGCACCTCATAGATCATTTTTGAAAAATATTAACCAAATCAGAAATATTTGAAGCATCTAATTGAGTTCAAAAAAACTGATAAAGACTTTGTTATAAGAAAACATTGAAATTTCATGGCAATAATTAAATAGGCAAATGATTTCGGATTGAATTAAATTTTTGCAAAAATAATCTATGAATCGAGACTTACAAAATAAATTGTTTAGATCATTGAGGTTTGATGTGTAGTGAATCCCATGACTAAATTCCTTTTTTTTTTTTTTTGGAAACTTGACTAAATTCCATTTTGAATAAAATGGAAATCCCTTATGATGTAGTGAATTGGTAGTAAAAAACTCTCTCCCATACAAACAAACTTTATAGAATCATTAAACAAACAAATAGTCCAATGGTAAAAGGCGAATTACGAGACTTCCTTAAAACTAAAAACTGGAGGTCTCGGGTTTGAAATCCTATGCTGGTGTGGAAGCCAGACTTGTGGCCAGAGGAAGGTTGAATTGGCTCTGTGAGTCTTTCCGACTCTTCGGAAGGGGTGGATAATCGTAGTTTGTCTGTCACCAGTTGTCCTTCTTTTCTAAAAAAGAAAAAAATTAAACAAACAAAACTTTATTCAATCCATTAATTATAAAAAATAAAAGTAGAGTAAAATTACAAGAGGTAAAAATAAGAACACAAAAACCACTCCACAACTTTGAATAGTTTAAGGTTTTAAGCAACGCAGTTGACTCATTAAACTAACACATATCCAACATCCATAAACTTACATACACGCAATGCCAATCCCAAACATAATAATGGATTCACATTCATCGTGTCGTCATGCTTCTATCACGTGACCATAGCATGGAATCCCATGCGACGATCGAACGGTCTTTAGTCGTACAAAAGCCGGACCCACCACTAAGGCCCTGGCCCAACGTGGACGGTCAGGATGAAACGAAACAAATCGCAGCCAACACTAAAACGCACAACCCAGTGCCATTGGCTACAAGCCTACAGCGCGTCATCATTCCGTTTCCTTTATATTCTGCTTACAATACAAGCTTCGAACCCATCTTTTTTAAGGGAAATTCTCACGCAACGTTGTGTTTCCTTGTCGGATTTGTAAGCCTAGAGTTGCAGAAGATCGAGAGAGAGAGAGAGAGAGAGAGAGAGAATGGGAAAGGATAGGAAGATTGGAGTGGCGATGGACTTCTCGAAGAGCAGCAAGAACGCTTTGGAATGGGCGATTGCGAACTTGGCTGACAAAGGTGACACCCTTTACATCATCCACATCAAACCCAACTCCCTCGGCGAGTCCCGCTCCCAGCTCTGGGCCCAATCCGGTTCTCGTAAGTATATATCTTTATAAAGAGTTAGGACAGTTCGATCGTTTCCTTGCAGTTGAGTTCAATATCTAGATCGGAGTAATTTAGTCCGGCTACGGAACGAACGTGTATTTTAATAGAAAATTAGATTTTAATCTTTAAATAAGATGAAGTTTAGAAAAATAACTTATAGAAGATTAAAAATTAATTTTAGTCCTTAAACTTTATTTAATGGCAGCATATCTATTCAATATTTTTTTTTAATTTTATGAATTTAAATTTTATGAAAGTATTATAAATTTTAATTCTCAGGTAAGCATCTTATGTAAGAAAATATTTTTGTAGAGATTTTTTGGTACATTTATGTTTTTGCATATTTTCTTATTTGTCACTAATTCATTACAATATATTTAGGTACGAACATTTCAGTACACTGAGTTAATATAATATGTTTAGGTACCGACATTTCAATACATTAGTTTAGTATCATTTAGTTAGGTACGGAATTTTTGCTACTTATATTTTTACATATTTTCTTGTATGTCACTAATTTACTACAATATATTTAGTTACTGGCATTTTGTTACACTAATTTAATAAAATATATTATTATACAGACGTTTAGGTACATTAATTGGAGAAAGTTAAATAAAATTAAGGAATTAAAATATGTATGATAATAAATTTAAAATTTAATGTAATAACATTAAATAAGTTATCTATTAAATAGAAAAACAAAAATATAATATGAATTTGAATTAGGTACACATTAAGGGGATTAAAATCAATATTCAATCTAACACCAGATTTTTATTAAATTTTAATCTTCTTGAAGGATTAAAGTTCAAAAACCTCTTCTAAATATGTTATTTGAGAAAGGAGTTGATATTATTATCTCTAACAAAGCGTAGTTGACGTGTTATTGATTCAGTATCCATGCGTTTTGGGTTCTCAGTGTTGCATGGAGAATTTATGACTAATACTTTTATTTATTTATAGGTAAAGCTTGAAGCTTTTAAATCAAATTGGTTATGTTTCTGATCTGGGATTTTTTTTTATTTTTGCAGCTCTGATTCCATTGTCAGAGTTTAGGGAGCCACAGATTATGAAGAATTACGGTGTCCAAACTGATATGGAAGTTCTTGACACACTCGACACTGCTTCCAGGCAGAAAGAGGTTTGCTTTAATTAATGGGATAATCTTGATCTGGGTTTTGATTTTGCTTTTGTTTGATTTTTGACGGGATTAATTTACAGGTGGATGTTGTGACAAAATTGTATTGGGGAGATGCAAGGGAGAAGCTTCTTCAAGCAGTTGAAGATCTGAAGCTGGACTCTTTGGTCATGGGAAGCAGAGGGCTTAGCACCATCAAAAGGTATGGGTGCAATTTTCTTAGATTTCTTTCTTTTCAATAATCAATTTAAAAAAATTGAAGCATTGGTCTCCAAATTTTAATCGATTTGAAACTTCGGTAATTGAACTAAATATTCGTGAAAATTGGTATTTGAATTAACTCTGTTTAAACTCCCATGCATAATAGGGAAATAAGTTAAAAAAAGGAAGTTTTAACGAAAAACTCACAGTACTGTTTACTTTAATGAAAAATCACATTTTTACACTAAAAAGTCAATCCTGATACTATTTACTTTACCTTTTATTTTGTCGTTATCATTAAAACTCAAAGTTTTCAAATTCTTTTCATTAGTTTTCCTTTTAAAAAAAAAGTGCTCACGAATTTTCAGTCTACTAATGCTCCAATTTTCTCTTTTAATTTTTTAATAAGGTTGTCGTAATTAATTTGGATTATATGTTTAATCCATTTGTTTTGTGGAAATTAAACAGGATCGTACTGGGGAGTGTGAGCAACTTTGTGCTCACGAATGCTGCAATCCCTGTGACCATCGTCAAGGACCTGAGCATGCAACAACATTAAAACTGTATGATCGATAATTAATTAGAAATTTGGAGCTGGTTTTATAATAATCTGTATTATCGATAAATAATTAGAAGCTTGGATCGGTTTTTATAATAATCTGCCATTATTTTCGACATTGGCATTGCTTTGTTGAAGATGAATGCATTTGGTTTTGTGTATTAGTTTGTTATTGAAATCATAGCCATCTAAATTGACCGCAAAACAAGGTTCAACGAACATCTCTGTCTCATTGTCTTTGCCCGCGTTTATGGATTTAATTACATTTCATATTAAAAATAATTACCCCAAATAATATTTTTGCTAGTATAACCCTTTTTCAATACCTAAAGTGTCTCCAACAAAGTTTGACAAAAAATCCTTAGAAAGTAAAGCATTTGGATTTTTTTTCAATAAATAAATTTGTTGCGTTTTTATTTGGGTAACAAAATTTGTTGTGCTTTAAATAGAGCTATGATAAAAGTGCTTACTACAAAAGATGCATCATCAGTAATAATTAGCATGTTTGTCAACGTTTAAATATAATTCATCATCAACTTTCATATTATTTAGTTTGTGTCTACAAATTTAATTTTTCTAGTATTACCTTATCACAAAATGTAGCTTGCGCTTCATCCACCGCCTTCTCATGGTCCTCCTTGTCCCAAAAAGCTTTGTATATTCCTGGCACATACTAAACCATTTGGATTTTTTTCAATAAATAAATTTGTTGCGTTTTTATTTGGGTAAAATTTTACTATTATTAAATTAAATATTTTGTTTCTTCAATAACATGTTAAAATCACGTTTAGCGTATGTGTATTATTGAAAAAAGTGTGAAAATAACGTGGACTAACTAGAACAATATGTACGTACATGTATGTTGTACGTTAGAGTTCTAAAAATGTGTAGTTTAATGAATTATTAAATCGGGTAGTGAATATAGAAGTATTTTTGAAAAATTTGTGTATGATATCTTCAATCTCTAATCTCTAATCTCTAATCTCTAATATTAGAAAGCTAGAATGAGAGTTTTGTGTCTCAAAGCTTCACCAAAAATAATTGGACTATAAAGCCCCTCAAACAAAAAAAATCCACAACTAGCTGAAAATAATAGAAACAAACTAGTAGGGATACTTTTGTCAAAAATAAAAAAGAAAAATATGTTAAACAAAAAGAGAACTAAAAATTAGAAGAAAAAAAAAGAAAAAGAAAAGAGAAGATAAACGTGGGGAATAGATTGGAAACTGCTATGCATCTAACCGGGAACCGTTTTGCGAAGGGAGAGATAAACGTGAACGTGCAGTGGTGTTCAGGAGGAAAAGAAAGCAAAAAGAAGCAGTTCGCGGGACGAGAGATATATAGAAGGAAGGACACAAAACAAGAACTTGAAGAAAAAAAATGAAACAGTTTTGCAGGAGGAGAAGATGATGCAAAAGACATTGCTCGCTCACAATTTGAAGCGAATTACAGGTTTGCTCTTCACTAATTCCATGCAGTTGTTGGATAATTCGAGTTCAATATGTTGGATTGTGCAATTTTCCCTTGCACATGTATTACTCATTCCTTATTTCTCCACGTTTCAGCGCTGACAAACAATTCTTCCATGTCTCTGCGCTCACAAACAAAGCCGGGCGGTTAGACGGAAAAAGAAACCCCCATTCTTCTCTCAAAATGGGTACAAACTTTAAGGTTCGTTGCCTTAGAAACTCGAGAAGAGTAGAGGAATTTCCAACACAAGAAGGAAGTGAGCAGTTGGGCTTTTCACATTTTTTGCTTCTCCCAACTAGAGCAATTCACTTTTGATATTAGTGGCTGCTTTCAATCACCACACTATTTTCATTGTATCTAGCACGTAGTTACGTTTTTTTTTCTCTTGCAAATTTATGAACAAGGATTGGGTATCTCTCTGGTGATTGTGTAGGTGAAGTCGGTTTCCTTTCTCCACTTTGTATTGATTTCATTTACGTTCATCTATGCCATATAATTGTTTTGGGAGTCTATATATCGACTGATTCTTATCGGATGTAACTTTCAATCTCGGATTCTCCATTTCCTCTGCATTCCTTCTCCATCCAGTGTTTGCTATTCACCAAATTCAATTTCATTTCTGTTTTTGATTATTTACTTCACAGTGAAAACTTGGTGCTTCTCCGGAGGAAGAACAACCAACATACCAGAATCGGGAGAAGAATTGAGCGACTAAATCAATGACAAAAGTTCGAAATTCTTAGTCAACATCGACTGATTCTTTCGCCATCCAACGTTTGTCTACCATTCATCAAATTCATTTTTCCTTCTCATGTTTCTCTCTGCTTTTGTTTCATTCTATCGGCAAGATTGTTGCTTTAGGCAAAAAGAATGTTAAAGTTGGATTTTTTATTTTGTTTTTTCTTGCAGTGATTTGATCATTGCAAGATTTAGGTTTTCTAAAAGTTGCTTTGCAGATGGCTTTATCTCCCTTAAAAGTCACTACAAGCGATCAGGAGGAATTGACATTCTAGACTATGTCAAAATTCAAGTCATTGATTATTTTTTTAAGAAAATTATGCATATAAGAAGTTCAAGTGCTGATTTTTTTTTAATTTTTTTACCTAAACTATGTTTTCCTCTTTTCCCATACAGGTTGCTCTGCTTGGGTTCAGTTTTAAGCTCATTGAAAATAGAGGCGGAAATTGATGCCAATGTCGTGATGTAAAAAAAGGATGCGTGTGCAAAAATGTTAGTGTGTATTATACGCAAATGTACTAACTATGTATTTTACATTTTTCCATCGGAGGTAAATATTATAGTTAATGTTGATTCAATTTATTTAAATAGTACGTAAATCATGTATTCTTGCTCTCTCATCCTCGTCCTGCTTGTCCTCATCCTGCTCCTCTCTGATTTGGTTTTGCAAATATGAAATTATTATTGGTTTTTTTATTTATATCGATTTTGTTGTTTTGGGTTCCAAGTCTCTGAAATTTTTGAATTTTTATCACAAAAATTGGGTGCGATTGTGTTATGTGATTGGGTGTGTTTTTTTAATTGATTGCTACCCATTTGCTTTCAATTTTTCTTGACAATTTGATGATCCTTAGAGATGGGAAATCCGTCCATTTCTCACTAGATGAACGAACAGGTTTGTAATTGTTTCCCTTTTGGGTTTGTGTATTGAGAATCATGTGAAAGGGTTTTGTTTTTTTGGTTTCTGGGTTTTTGAATTGGCGGCATATCATGGGTCTTTTGATCATAAAAGTTGTTGTCTTTGTTTGGTTTTTGGTGGCTATGTATATTTGCAGGGTCTGGATTTGTTTCTTAGGACCTCTATCAGCATGGGATTTTCAGTGCTTCCATTAAGCTACCTGCTGATTACACTTCTGGAGTTGTTGCATTTTATGCGAGGTCATTCTGTTTTTCTATCTAATTAAGGTTTTTAATTTGTTTCCCTCTTTGTTTGTTGTATTATTATATCTAAGGTTGTATGATTTTATTGTCAACAAAATAATATGACCCAGATTTTTACTTCTCAATTTTACAGTTTTGTAAAGATTCAATCTTTATGGTTAGCTGATGAATTTGATTTTTTTTTTTTTTGTTTTAAACTTGTGGCGTGGAACCTAGAAATGTTATGGATCTATCAATATCCCAAGTAAAAACTTGTTTTCTCAAACTTGCTGGTGTGAACAGGACTATTTTTATTATCAGGCCGTATTATCCGGCACTACACCAAACGCTTCACTAACCCAGTCCAACTTAGTCTAGTCTAAGCTAGTCTAGCTTGGTCCTTGAAGCTACTCTAGTTCGAGATAGTCCGGTACAACAAACGCACCCTAAGGACCTTGCAAGCGGTGGGTTGCATTAGCGAATTAAACATTCCTTGTCAATTCATTACACACACACACACACATATATATAGGAAGCCTTCAAGGGAAAGGATTCTCATTTTTCAAAATAAATAGGGACATACTTTTAACTATTAGATTTGACTTTAATAAAATTCTGTGGCCTGTAATTTAATCTCAGCCACAAAATTTCATTAAAGTCAGATATAATGGTTAAGATGATGTTAAAAAAAATGAGGATCCCTTCTCTTAAAGGGTGTGTGCGTGTATCTATTAAGAACCCGATCGAGCCACAAGTACAATCCTGATTTTATTCTTATAAAATATCATGAACCACGAAATCCTGTGTGTGTGTATCTATTAAGAGCCCGATCGAGCCACAAGTACAATCCTGATTTTATTCTTATAAAATATCATGAACCACGAAATGCCTCAGGAGACCATCTTATGATATGAACCATTTAGTTGGAAGTAGCGGTGGTGGTGCTCTGAAGGCGACGACGGAAGAAAGCAACTAGTTTATCTCTTGGAGGCAGACTTTCATGAAAAACACTGCAAAACTCATCACTCCAATCGTACAGATCGGGAAGCTTCTCTTTGGTCAACAGCTCCACTCCCACAACTTCTTGAATGGCTCCAAGCCAGTAGGCTATGAAGTTGGCAACAATGTCCACAAGTCCAACCGTCTCTCCCCCGAAGAATTTCTTATCTTTGAGCTCATTTTCCAGTATTTTCAGAAGCTCACAGGCTTCTTCCACAGCCTTCTCAGGTTCCTCACTGCCCCAGAGAGCTTTCCATGCTGCAGGCAAGCACTAAAGTAAACAAATACATTTAGAATTTAGCTTATTAGACACATATTTTTGTTTGCAAAATTTATTAGTGCGGTCAATAAGCTGCCACATGGCAAGCAAGAAAATAGAACTATATACACTCAACAGTAATGTTCACTTGTCAACTGAATGTTGTAAGACTCAAAAGAATCAACTTAATCACTGATGAAGCTTTTCTGACATAAAAATTTTGTGTAACTAGGCATATGTTTTCATGTTGTTAATCTAGACTACAATTTTTTTAGTGAAATCTCAGCAGTAGTACATATTTTATACAAGAACCAACTTAATTACAATTCATATTTTATAGCGTAAACATTGTATACTACCAACATATTATGTGAGGTCAGACATGTATTGTCAAGTTTAGTAATTTATAAAGTTTTACATTGGTAGTCACAAAAGAATTTCAAGCTAATATACCCAATGTAAAATCGTCATGCACATACTTATGGTGACAGACTGTTAATCTAAACTATACATTCATGCTATAATCAACTTTGTTAAAAATAACCTTGATCATCAATGATTTAGATGCACAATAAAGCAAGATAACTTTTCTTATATACCTAGATTTGGATCATCTCCAGATCCCCTCCCGGGAAATCCTGGAGATCAAGACACAAAGACCGTTCATTAAAGATTGTGCGGTCATAATTAAATGTTTTTTTACGCAAAACGATATTGTTTTACTTTTAAAAATATAAAAAACATTTAATTGTGGCCGCACGATTTTTGATGAACGGTTCTTGTGCCTTGATCTCCAAGATCCCCAGGGAAGGAATCCGGAGAAGATCCAAATCCATATACTTAATACGAAAAGATTAAAGTGAAACATTTTCACCTTTTCATCAATAAACCTAGCCCAGAAACGTGCCTGGGCTCTTTCATAAGGATCTGTAGGCAAAATGGGAAAACCTTCCTTCCAAGTCTCATCAATGTACTCAAGAATGACCTGGGACTCAGCTATTGGTCTGTCACTGTGCAGAAGCACAGGGATCTTCTGATGAATTGGGTTGGATTTCAGAAGCAAAGGGCTCTTGCTCTGCAGGTCCTCCTCAACGTATTCATATTTCACTCCTTTCAGCTTCAGAGCTATTTCCACCCTCCCACTAAATGCGCTTCCCCAAACTCCCAACAGCTTCACTTCTTCAGCCATGATATAAGCACTAACTAATCAAGTTTCACACTAACTAATCTCTCTCTTGTGTGGATATTACGACTGGTTTAATCTTCCTTCTGGGGTTTTATAGTGGTCGGAAAACAGTGTTTACTTGGCCGCTAAGACAACTCTACACTGGTCAATAGTCAATAGTAATTTAAAATTGTGACTTGGTTGAGGAAAGATCTAGAAAATGTGCTTTATTGACAATTTCTTCATTGAAACCATCCAAATGAGCTGATCTGCTGTACTGGTATTATATTCTTCTCCTTTAATTGGGCCATTGACTTGCTAGTTTTTATTGGTTTTATCATATATTACCTATTTGTATTCATTTAGTCCAACTTATGTAAATTTTGAATTCTGCTTCCAATGAATTTGGTCATTGCTTACGTTTAAGGGTCTCAATAATCAACATATTATGTCCAAGCCTTCATAAAGTTTTAAACCTTTTATTGGGTAGTATTGACGTTATTGACATTTCAAAATTTTTACCATACAATCCAAATTTTCGATACTTAAAATGGAAAATACGCTTATGTAATTGTGCGTATGAGTATTACACAAAGAGATTTTTGGAATGTCAATAACGTCTACATTTTTTTTCATTAAACAACAATATCGAGTTGAGTATTTAGGTTGCACAATGAGCTAACTATAATCATGTTGAACTGACATTCAGAATAATCAAACTTAAAACTTCTAACTTAGAGTAAACTTTCCAAATGCTAGATGTATAGATTAGATAATTAGATTCTAGAGTACATTTAGAAGTCTGCAGATCAAAATATTGCAAACGGCTAACAATTTGCAAATAAGAGGCAATTGGGCTCCAAAATGCTATTGCATTTTACAAGCCCTGAAAGTTAGCTTATTCTAATTCCAAGGGCCTCAATAAGCATGAAATCTAAAAAATAATGGATCACCGGAGAATATTTTCATAGAATCTTCTTCATGGTCAGATGCGGTGGCACTAGTACCCATATAAGCTAAAAAATCGTTTTATGGTACGTTTGTTTGGCCTCATTAATTTTTAATGACTGAACTGGACTACATATTACTATAATCTTGTGTTTACTATTTGTAAGGACTAATTTAAAAGGAAACTAATGAAAAGTTAAAAAAAAAACTTTAGTTTTAATGAAAAAGGACAAATAAAGGTGTAGCGAATAGTATCATGGAAATGTAAAAATGTGGTTTTTCGTTAAAAGTGAGTAGTACTAGAAGTGTTTTGTTAAAACTTCCTAAATTTAATAGGATTAAAAGGGACTTGTGCGAACTAACTCCCACGCTAGGTCTTAGCGAGACCCCAAAAAAAGAGATGACTACTAATATTTATTTATAAGGGTACATTATTATTTACCCATTCAGGTTTGTGGTCGATTTTAATTTCTTACAACTTTTTAAAAACATTTCAATTTCATACCTCAAATATGATTTAGTTGCAATTTCATACAATCCACTACATAATTTGTTAGAATGACCGTTAAGTGATGACTAGGGTTCTTATTTGTGCTAATGTGGCTAAAAACTTAATAAAAAATAAATAAAAATTAAAAAAAATATTTAAAGAAAACTTATTTACAAAAAAAAAAAAAAAAAAAAAAAAAAACCCATATCCCCTTCTTCCCCAAAATCCCCACCCTCCCACCCCCCATCACCCACCTTTTCCCCCACCCCCCAACGCTTTTTCTCTCGCACCACTCTCTCCCCCCAACTATCTGGGCAAAGCTTAGCCCAATAACCCCATCTCTTCCTCGACTCCATCCCATCTCCTATGTGCTTATATGCAACCAATAAGCCCATCTGGGTTTGGAAAGCTTCTTCAGCCACCCTATAGAACTTCAACCTCTTCTTCCTTGTGCTACCTTCTTCCTCCCTGCAAATCTCACGCATTGCATGAGACTCCCTGAACTTCCTCCCTCCCTCGCCACGCACCAACACATTGCAAATCCCTGCCACGAGATGAACTAAGTCCGAGATTGTTGAAATCAACTCCGGGATGATGCCGGATAAAGAATTTGAGGACAAAGATACATTCTTTAGCGAAATTAGATCCCCGAACAAAGTGGGTATTTCACCATTGATGGAATTAAAGGAAAGGTTTAAGGTTTTGAGGTTTTCGAGGAGTGTGAGGGAACTGGGTATCTTCCCCCGAAGCTTATTGCGTGAAAAATCGATGTGGGTAAGATTTAAATTCATGTGTTTCGGAATGCTGTCGATTAAATTGGCTTGGGAGATGGTGACTGACCTGAGCTTTTTCAAGTTTCAAAGGATGATGAAGGGTCCGGAGGCCTTGACTTGGACGTTGGAGATAGTGAGCTTGGTGAGGTTTTGGAGGCAAGTGAGCCAGACGCCGGTGAGGCGGCGGAGGGAGTTGATGTAGGTGAAGGAGTGAAGGGAGGCGATGTGATCAGCGGGGAAGCGGATTGGAACAATGGGGCATTTGAAGAGCTGTAGGGACTGGAGGGTGGAAAGGGATTTGAGGGCGGTGAAGGAGAGGGCGATGTCATTTGAGCAGTTGGCGAGGCGGAGAGAAAGGAGGTGGCGGTGTTGTGTCAAGGGTTAATGGTGACGGAGAGGCGTGTTATTGGTGGTATGGAAGATGGGGTTGATCAGAGGAAGAAAAGGTGTGGGGATGGTGGAGGAGCGGATGAAAGCATCTCCAAAGGAGATGTCAAAAGATAAATGTCAAATGTTAATTTGATGGCTGATGTGGTAATGTCAGATTTTCTCTTTTTCCAACCGATATGTTTCTTGGTGATAAATGATATTTGTAGAACCCATTTTAAAAAGAAATCAATTAAGGTACATTTTTCAAGATCTATAATTGGTGCATTAATGGGACTCACATAATAAAATAATTAAAATGAAAATTGACATCACCTTTTCTCATATGTTAAATTTGACATATGAAAACTCATATGTCAATCCACATAGGATTGACATATTGGTTGGAGCTCACTCTTACCTTCAAATTTGATTACATGAAATTTCACCTAGGATTTGACATCTCCTTGGAGATGGTCTTAGGAGCTGATCAGAGAGAAGAGGGGTGGGATGTGGGGTTGATTATTTTTTATTTTTTTGACATTTTAATTATTTATTAAATATTTCAAATAATAATAATTTTTTATATTTTATAATTTTTTTATCTACATGGTGCAAAGTTGACATCCACCTCATTAAAAACTGAGTTCCATATCTGCCACATAATCACTTAACATCCATTCTAATAGATTATGTAACAGATTGTATGAAATTACAACTAAATCATATTTGATGTATGAAATTGAAATGTTTTAAAGATGTTGTAAGGAATTGAAATTGACCTCAAACCTGAGAGGGTGAAATATAATTTACCGTATTAATTATTACAACTAGGTGATATTGAAAGACCATAGTTTTGGTCACACATGATTATAAGTTTGTTCAGTAAACCCTTGTTTTCAATGACATCACCGCGCAAACAAGGCATTACACATGTATGAAGAAAATAATTGTCACCAGTGCCACACAATTTAAAAGTCAATTTGCACTTCTCACAATTTATACGGCAACTTTTCTAAAAAATTACTTCAAGAATTCGGCTTTTTTTTTTTTTTTGAAATTTAATAAGATTAAATTAAATTAATTAATTTTGTATGTTTCTTCAATAATATGCTAAATTAAAATACGTCTAGAATGTGTGTATTATTGAAACATGTGTGAAAATAATGTGTACTAAACGTGAAAAGCATGTATATAGAATGGACGGAGCCACCTTGGGCGCAAGGAGGGCGCATGCCCTCACTCAATTTTTTGGTAAAAAAAAATCTTACAGTTGTTTGTGACATTATTATTAACTCTTTGGGTAAAGTACAAAAAACTACCTAAACTATTGGTGTCACGACACTTTCATATCTCATCTTTTAAAATTGACAATGTCATACCTCATCTTTAGAATTTGGTCCAATGTTATACCTTCCATTACTTGGCTGTTTACTTTTCAGTTAAATGCTGACGTGGTTTGATCCAGGTCCCACTTTCTATTAAAAAATTAATAAATATTATTAAAAACTAAACAAAAATCATTTAATAATTTTTAAATATTAAAATAATAAAAAAATTTATTTAAAAAAAAAAAAAACCTTTTGTTCGTACCCTTCCCCCCCCCCCCCCGCCTTTCTTATCTCTCTTCTCCCCCATCTTCATCTTCAGAAGAAAAACCCGAATCTGCAACCCAGAAGAAGAAGAAGGAGAAGAAGGAGGAGGAGGAGGAGGAGGAGGAGGAGGAGGAAGGAGGAGGAATAAGAAGAAGAAAAAAAAAACCCCAAATTTGCAAAAGAAGGAGGAAGGAGGAGGAATAAGAAGAAGAAGGAAAAAAAAAAACCCTAATCTGCAAAATGAGGAGGAAGAAGGAGGAGGAAAAAAAAAAAGAAAAAGAAACCTAGATCCCATTAAGGTGGAATTGGGAAACCTTCGTGACCTTTTTCTTCTTCTTCTTCTTCTTCTTCGTTTTCTTCTTCCTCTTCCTCCTCCTTCTTCTTCTTTGGGCCCCCGGGGGGGGGGGGTTTGTTACTGAGGGGTTTTTTAATATTTGTTTTTACTTTTCTTTTAATATTTAAAAAATATTAAATAATTTTTTTTTAGTTTTTAATAATATTTTATTAATTTTTTAACAGAAAGTGGGCCTCGAATTAAGCCACGTCAGCATTTAACTGAAAAGTAAACGACCAAGTAAAGAAATGTATAACATTGGACCAAATTCTAAAGATGAGGTACTGCCATTGTCAATTTTAAAAGATGAGGTATGAAAGTATCGTGACATCAATAGTTAAGGTAGTTTTTTGTACATTACCCTAACTCTTTTACGTACTACTGCCATCATTGAAAGATCATTTTTGGCCATGAATTTTTTTAAGATCGATTGAGAAATTGGATGGGAGATCAAGGATAATGATAACATGGTTATTTTTATAGAGAGAAATATATATTTGATGATATTGGTAACGAGATTGTTTTGTAAGGCTTTCAAAACATAAAAACGCGTGAATAGATATTATAATATGTTGTATGATAAACTTTATGGACTAGTAAATAAGTATTTTGTTTATGGACTAGTAAATAAGTATTTTGTTTACTACATTCTTGAGCCTTTTAATTTATGACTTTGTTTTTTGAGGATGCTCTCATCCATGCATATCTCGAGCTCGTCCTTGGTATGTAGTGTACAATACTTATATTGTACATTAGAGTTCTAAAAACATGTAATGTGATGAATTAATAAAACGTGTACGGAAAATGAAAGTATTTTGAAACATTTTTGTGTAATACACGTATTTTATACAAATTTACTATGTATTTTACTATTTTTCTGTAGAAGGCCAATGTTATAGATAACGTTGATCCGATTTACATCTAAACAGTAAATCACATATTTCAACACTAACTAGTTAAAAAACTTTTATTCCATAGATGTCATAAAAAGATTTTGCGGTGCATAGAAAATATAAGTAAACTAAGAACCTAGCAAGTGGTGGATTGCGCAAGTATTTTAGACATTCTTCGTCAATTCATTGCCATTTTGGTGTTTGAACTTTGCTCCTCCTGTTGCGAAATTTAAACTAACCGAAATTAGTCCAACTTAGTTCCAAATTTTATGCTCACAAGCGTATGAATCGTTCGATAGTATAGAAAGTAAGCACTTAACATTGTACCACAAAAAGTAATCTAATTCTAAACAACTAACTTAAATCCAATTGCGACATAGTGAAATTTAACAAAGATTGATAAAATAATGATGGTTTTGAGAGTTGATACTAAAAGTTAAAAAAAAAAAAAAACAATAAAAACAAGTACGTGTGATCACAATGCAAAAAGTGGCAGCAAGAAAACAAGTTGTAATTCAATCGAAGTAAAACACTAGATCAGTCCGACTCACCATAACCAATCCTACTTATTTCATGCAACAAATTATTAACAAGTACTCAATCTCATTGATAGTCAAATTTCCCTAACTCATGTAATATCTATGACATCTAGATTGTTACATATATTCCATTATGCAACCATCCATGGCATTTGGATTAGTTAACATAATGAAACTCATTATGATTAGTGGAAATTTATATAAAGACTACACAAATCCTAGAGTATGACATCTACTACTAGGTAATTTATGGTATCTATTTGCAAGAAGCTATCCCTCAAGTTGAAAACATGGCATCTGCACAACTTGCATCAAATTTACTAAGTAAGAGTCAAAATGGTAGCTAATCACCAAGACTAAAACCAAGCATATAAGAGCATTCATAGTTATGGCTACATCGTAGCCCTAGCTAAGAAAAATTAGTTCTAAAACATAATCGAAAATATTATTGAATTCATAAAATTAAAAGAAAACTAAGTTTAGAAAAGCTTGAAAATCTCTTGCTTTGCCGCTGCCTTCTTCCCCTTGTCCCTTTTTTCTTGAATCTTGATCAGTTCTCTTTTTTCTTTTTCTTCCCCCTTGTCTTTCCTTTTCCATAACTGACAAAGGTTTTAAAACCCATTAATTGGCAAGAATGAAGAAGAGAAACGGAAGAACTTTTAACTCCTTCTCATTGATCTCACTGCCATCACCCCTAGCCTTATACCTCTGAATCAATTCATTGCAGTAGTAGGCCTCCTTAATTTACCTCTTCAATGCTCTGCTAAGTGCTGAATGACAGTCACATCTCCAAAATGGACATCCACCAAATTTGCACTTGGCCAATCTCCACAATAGATCAAAATCATCAAATAATCTCATGTTCATACTTTTGCTTGAAACCCTCAAACTGAAATTTGATCTAGGAAGCTGGATTTCCATCTCTTTTCGAATCTGATTGTCTAAAGCCTCTTGCTCCGCTGCAATTGTATATGACGGCTTGCACCATAAAAAAGATTGGATTAGGCCTTTCTTTTCTGTGTCGGTGTAGATAAGAGAATAAGGGCAGCCTTTGTGCAATTGAATACATCACGTGCAAGGCATGTGTTCCACATTTTGTTAACCCGTCAAACCTCCTTTCAATCTTGCAAAGTAACAGGAAAACTGTTACTTGTCAACATAGAAAACCTTGATATGATTTAAGTGAGAATAAGTTTAGCCTTATAATAATGGAGCCTCGCAAAATGTTAAATAGTCCTCTTTTTATGCAAGCTAATTATACAATGCCATTCTCTTAAACAAAAGATAAAGACATTCTTGCATTCAAAATACGAATGGCAATAGTTCCATTTGACTCAACAAAATCATATAGATATAATACAATTTAGTCATTTCCTTTGCCTAATCATGAAAGCACAAAAAATGTGTAAACGCTTTCATTTAAATCCAAAATGTCACAAGAAAAATGCAATTTTTGAAGTAAATAAATAGTCGAACATGCGATCATCACCTCCCATCAATATAGCTTAGAGTACGTAGTAGTCACATCCATCAAGATATATATGCATACATATACATATATATAGCTATGCAGGCCTTTACGTAAAGGGACTTCCATTTTTTTTTTAAAATTGAGATTACTTGTTGGATCCACTTCACATTGAACTTCAACGATCTGAATAATTTATTTTGCAAAAATTCAATTTAATCTGACATCATTTACCCATTTAATTGTCATGATGAAATTTCAATGTTTCTTAGAACATAATGTTCGTCAATTTTTTTGAACTCAATTAGATACCTCAAATATTTCCGATTTGGCTAATATTTTGCAATATAATCAATGAGTTACAACTTGAAAAATAGACGGTTTAGATTATTGAAATTTGATATGGTGTTGGCCTCACAACTAATCTCCATTTTTTGAAATAAATGGGATCCTTTCCCTTAAAGACTCTGCGTGTGTGTATTAAGAACCCCATCTAGCCACAAGTGCAAAATCCTGATTTTGTTCTTATAAAACATCACGGAGCCACGAAATGCTTCGAAGGAAATCACACAGACACGTATACATATTTAGCCACAAGTGCAATACTGATTTTCTTCTAAAATACCATGAACTATGAAATGCTTCGAAGGAAACCATCTGATGACTAGGATTCTATGAACCGTTTTAGCTGGAAGTAGTAGTTGTGGTAGTGCTTTGAAGGCGATCGCGGATGTGAGCAACTAGTTTATCTTTGGGAGGCAGACTTTCCTGAAATACACTGCAAAACTCATCGCTCCAATTGTACAATTTGGGAAGCTTCTCTTTGGTCAACAGCTCGACTCCCACAACTTCTTGAATGGCTCGAAGCCAGTAGCCTATGAAGTTGGCAACAATGTCCACAAGTCCAACGGTCTCTCCTGCGAAGAACTTCTTGTCTTTGAGCTCATTTTCCAGTATTTTCAGAAGCTCACAGGCTTCTTCCACAGCCTTTTCATGTTCCTCACTGCCCCACAGAACTTTATATGTTGCAGGCAAGCACTAAAGTAAACAAACAAAATAAGAATTTAGCTAATTAGACATATATTATGGTGTGGAAAATTAATTAATGCGGTCAATAAGCTGGAACATGGGCTAGAAAATAGGGCTATATAATGTTCACTTGTCAAACTAATGTTGTATAACTATTGTCTGAGACCACACATATCATGATAAAATCAAACTTGATCACTAATTCAGATTTTGTGACATAAACTTTTTATGTAACCAGACTTATGTTTTCAAGTTATTAATTTAGACTACATTTGTTTTAAATGAACCTCGACGGTACGATATAAATTTTCTTGATATGAAATCTTAATCTAAACTACATATTTCATACAAAAACCAACTTGATCAACCATTCATATTCTGTAGTATAAACACCTTATACTACCAACAGATTATGCAGGGTTAGGCGTGTATTGTCACTTGTCAGGTTTGATCCAGACTGAACAAGTAGACATTTCAAACGAGATTCAACTTAATCAGTGATTTTAAGTTTTAATAATATAAACATTAACACTGTTAGTCACAAAAGCATTTCTAGCTAATACATATACTCAATCCAAAATCGCCATGCACATGCTTATATATATATATATATATATATATTAAGAAACTGTTAATTTAAACTATAAATTCATGTTATAATCAACTTTATTAAAAATAACCTCGATCATCAATGATTTAGATTCACTGTCTAGCAAGACAAGAAACATTTTACCTTTTCATCAATGAACCTAGCCCAGAAACGTGCTTGGGCTCTTTCATAAGGATCTTTAGGCAAAATGGGGAAACCCTCCTTCCAATTCTCATCAATGTACTCGAGAATGACCTGGGACTCAGCTATCGCTCTGCCATTGTGCAGGAGCACAGGGATCATCTGATGAACTGGGTTGGATTTTAGAAGCAAAGCACTCTTGCTCTGCAGGTCCTCCTCAACAAATTCGTACTCCACATTTTTCAGCTTCAGAGCTATTTCCACTCTCCTACTATATGGACTTGCCCAAACCCCCAACAGCTTCACCTCGTCAGCCATGATATAAGCACTAACTAATCAAGTTTAACACTAATTAATCTCCTCCTTGTGTGCATATTATGACTGGTTTAATCTTTCTTTTGGGGTTTTATAGCGGTAGGAAAATAGTGTTTTTGGCAGTCAAGACAACTCTACACAATGTTCAATAGTCAATAATAATTTTAAAATGGTTATGTCATTGAGGAAAGATCTAGAAAATGTGCTTTATTGACAATTCTTCGTTGAAAACCATGTCCAAATGAGCTTATCTGCGGAAGAGATTCTTCCGAATCTCTTCAACTAAAGCTCACCAATCAATTAATTTCGGTTCTTGAAATTTGATCCAACAACTATAAATATGAGGTCTCTTAAAAGTTATAATAATTTTAATTGTTAGATCAAATTTTAAGAGTTCAAATTAATTGATTGGGTTGATGGAAGAGATCCGGAGGGGATCTCTTCCGGATCTCTTCCCCTTGTATGCCGTATTGATATTGTATTACTCTCCATTTGGTGCTAATGCTAGCTTTTATTTGTTTTATCATATATTACCTATTTGTGTTCAATTAGTCCAACTTGTGTAAATTTTTTCCGATGTGTTTCGTCATTGCTTATCGTTAAGGGCCTCCATAATAAATTTATTGTGACCAAGACTTCTTAAAGTTTTAAACTATTTTTATTGGGTGATGCTGACGTATTGACATTTCGAAAATTTTACTGTACAATCCAAATTTCGTTATTTAAAAAGAAAATACACTTATGAGTAGGTACATAATATCAAGATTTTGAGTGTCAATGACGTCAACGCCCTTTTCTCTTTAAACAACAATATAGAGGGTGGGTATTTAAGCTACATAATGAGCTAATTGTAATCATGTTGAACTCAAATTCAAAGGAATCAAACCTAAGACCTCTAGTTTACAAATGAAGATAAAAAACTTTCCAAATGGTAGATACATTGATTAGATAATTAGATTTAGGGTGTAATTAGAACTCTCCAGATCAAAATAAGACAAACTGCTAACAATTTGCAACGAAGAGGCAATTGGGCTCCAAAATGCTATTCGGTTTGGGCTTCCAAGCCTTGAAAGTGGCTTTTTTTTGTTTTCAACAAGGTAGGTTGGGCCTCAATAAGCCATAAAGTTTTAAAACAGATGGATCACCGGAGAATATGTTCAGAATCTTCTTCACGGTCACAATGGCAGTAGTACCCATTTAGGCCAATTAGTCATTTTAGCATACATTTGTTTGACATCACTAATTTTCAATGGACCGGACTTGATTACTTATTAGTATAATCATGTGTTTATTACGTGCATGAATTAAATTTAATAAGATTAAAAAAAACTCGCATGGATTAACCTCCTCACTAGAAGGTTTTATAGAGCGCCCGAAAAGGAGAGGACTACTAATCTTATTAATAATTACAACTAGGTGATATTAAAAGATAATAGTTTTGGTCACACACGGTTATAAGTATTGCTCAGTAAACCTTTGTTTTCGATGGCATCATAGCAAACAAGGCATTATATATATATATATATTAAGAAAAAAATTGTCACTTCTCATAGTCATTGGTACTTCTCGTAGTTAGTAAAATATGAAACGGGATATAGTACGTGAAAAATAACTACGTGCATTATTTGGTAACTTTTCTAGAAAATTACTTAAAAAAATTTGGCCATTTTTTACATTTTAATAGATGAAATAGTTGTTTTATTTCTTCAATAATATATTAAATTAAAAATGTTCACAATATGAGTTGTGAAATTCCATTACCGAATTCCACTATTCAATATTTCGTATTCGTATTTTAGGAAAATTAATCTTATTTTTCAGTTAATTTTGGAATTTTGGTTATTTAGTTATAAAGTTTGATTTTTTGTAATAAACAATCCGTAGACCTTTTAAGGTCACTTTTAGTATTTCTGGATTGAGCTCGATCCTATGAGCGTGTAAGTGAAAACTGTATATGAAACGGAGTTATAACAAATAAACTACAAGCTTCCAAAAGAAAGGGCAAAATGGTAATTTCACTCATACATGGCAACTCAACCCAGCCCATATTAGGGGTGTTTCGAAATAAAAACTGGGTATGTACGACCCGTTTCTCTATTGTCTGGCCCGGGATAACCTGCTACCCGGGTGAATTTGTGACGGCGATCTCGTCGAATTCCGACGACGATGAAACAAACAACACCACAGATCGACTCAGTGCTCCTCAAGCTTTATTTTCCACCCCAGGTATTCGTTGTTTGGCTGTTGTTCGTGGTAGATCGAAACCGTGGAATCCCCGAGTTTCCCGACAGACGATCATCGTCCTCCGTGCATTTCGACATCCACCTTCACTAGTTTTCAACTCACCTTGACCCCAATAAAACCCGATCAAGGTTCATGCCGTGGGAGCCCCCGTGACGTCGAATCGACGTTCGAACGATTTTGGGGTTTCGGACGATCCATCGTCGTCCCGATGGAAACCACCTTCATGCTTTGACTCTAGTTTTGATACCCGTTTGACGCAATTCGATCATTTGGACTTGGTTTCGTAATTGACCACCACTCGATCTTTTTAGTAGACAGAGATTCGATCATTGGATCGTCTTGAAATTATAGTGTGTTGTTGTTTGTATGTTTTGAAGACCTTAGGAATTTATGGATCTGAAATCTAACATGAGAATCTTGTGGATTGGATTATTATAGTTGTTGATCGTATGATCCGACCGTTTGATCGTCACAAAATTATTGTATGTGATTATACATAATATTTGAGTATTTAAAAGTTTACAGATCGACTTCTGATGTGTGAATATTTTGGATTGGATTACGGATGATTGTTAATTTTACCGTTGACTGCGTTGATCAAGGGTTGACTTTTGGTCAAATTTCCCGAAATGTCTTCAATTACTCAAATTAAGTTTACTAGAGACCCGACAAAGTTTAGTGGACCTATCTTGATCAACAAGCCATCTTGGATGGGTGCCTCGAATTGCGTGTAAGTGATACCTAACCAAAATTTATGTGTGTATTGAATTATAAATGATAGTAATGATATTGTGCAAATACTAGTATGAGCAGATAAGACAAGGGCCATATTAGAAGTATTATGTAGAACTTGTACATATGTATGATTAGAGAATTGTTGTTCATGTGGATTCAATAGTGCTTGTGTGTACTTACAATTGTGATTCATGTTGAATGAATGTATAATAGGATGATGTGATTGCACCATGTAACAATGTGGTACATGGATAATCCCACCTAGTTAATTCGCATTGGGAGACCACATGCATTGTAAGAGTGACTCTGCTTGATTAATCTACATTGGGTGTCACTGCCTACGTGGTTCATTATTTCTATAGGTGGTCCTGCTTGGTTAATTCACGTTGGGGGACCTTACACATTCTAGGGGTGACTCTATATGGTTAATCCGCATTGGTGGGTCACTGGCTACTTGGCTTCATTATTTCCATGGGTAGTTCCGTTTGGTTAATTCGCATTGGGGAACCACATTATTAGATGCAAGCCTATGGTTTCACCTAGTTAATCCGCATTGGGGAACCATATGCATTCTAGGAGTGATTCCGCCTAGCTAATCCTTGTTGGGGAATCATACGCATTCTAGGGTGATTCTGCCTGGTAATTAATCCACGTTTAGGGATCATTGCCTACCTGACCACATTAGATCCATAGGTGGTCTTGCTTGGTTAATTCGTATTGGGGGACCACCCTATCGTATCGATGCCTATGGTTTCACTTGGTTAATCCACATTGGGGGTCAATACGCATTCTACAGTTGGATTACGTTGAATTGGTCTGGAATCCCTTGGTCCATAATCCCTTTTCCAAGTTGGTTGTGTTGAGTTGGTCCGGAACGTTAGATTCTTGTGAGTAGATGTTGCTCAAGATTACACTTGTGTGTAATTTGAGATTACAATGTTGTTACCTTATAATACTAGTAGAAATTTAGGGCAATCCTTATGGATGTTGGATTTGTTACGATTAGGGAAGTGATGTTTGATAGTATTGATTGATTAATGTGGGGAAATATTAAACTTTGTGCCTTGTTGGTCCATTGAAATGTTATTGGTTATGCTTTTGTTATTAGAAATCTTTTTGAAGTATGTAAAAGATGGAATGACATATAGATTCATCACTTACGTTCGAAGTTAACTATAACTTTATATTTTACAATTAGGAATGCCATGAGAAATGTTAGAGTTTATCTAAGGATGAACTATGAATGGCTTGATCTTGTGACATGGTACATAGGCAATCTAAAGCAAAGGTTAGATGCACTTATAAAATAAGAGGAAAATGTACTAAGGTATGGAACCGTTGGTTATTTCTGGTCATGTCTTGAAAGGTAGGTAAGATAGATATTGGTATGTTTTGATATCACGTGTTGATCATAAACAAATGTTGGGATCGGGGCATCACATGTGTGACACTGAAAGATGTGTGAAAATTACGTGTACTAAACATGAAATGTATGTAAGCATGTGTATAATACGAATGTTGTACATTAAAGTTCTAAAATGTGTAATTTAACGAATTATTGAAGCTTGTACGGAAAATAAAAGTATATTGAAAAATTCATTTGTAATACACGTATTATATACGGATTTACTAACTATGTATAAACAATGTATTTTTTACATTTTTCTGTAGGAGGCAAATATTATAGTTAACGTTGTTCTGATTATATGTAAATGGAAATCATATATTTCAATGATAATTGGTTGAAAAACTTTTATTTCATAGATTTCATAAAAAAGATTTGGCGGTATAGAGAATATATAAGTAACTAAGTACTTTGCAAATGGTGGATTACATAAGTGTATTAGACATTCTTCGTCAATTCATTGCACTTCGGTGTTCGAACTCTGCCCACCCCTCAATCTAGCTTAGAGTACATAGTAATATCACGTCTAACAAGATATATATGCATACATACGCGAGCGCGCGCACACAAGAGAACGCGATCTAGCAACAAGTGCAATCCTGAATTTATTCTTATAAATATCATGAACTACGAAATGCTTCGAAGTAAACCATCTTATGACTGATTTATGAACCATTTTAGCTGGAAGTAGTAGTGGTGGTGGTGCCTTGAAGGCGACCACGGAAGTGAG